CTCAACCACTCTGTGAGTCTGTGAGTGGTGCCAGTAAATGGTGATGCCAGCCTGTAGCAGAGCTAAGCATTCATGACTGGGCTGTGGGTGATCAACTCCACAAATGGCACAGCTGGTGCTAAAAGACACCACATGATGCTGGCCAGCATAAAATACAACAGGTGTCCAGTAGGCAGATGTGTCTTAATCTGCCGCAGTAGGTTTGACTCATATCTCAAAAATTTTTAGAGATCGATTTACACCCTAAAGCATCAAGATTAATATTCCTTCCAAACTAATTAAGACTGTGTATTTTTATAATTGCGTACATCTTCGATTGCAGAGAAAGTCCATGTTCATCAAAAACTCATCCATAACTTCATTATCCACAGTATGCCTTGTAATTAAGTTTTTGGTAGAATACAGATAAAGCTTCCAATTTATAATCTTCATACTGTTCTTTTAAGTCGTGTCACCTTTCGTTTCTGTCCTTCCTGATGTAAAACCACAATCCTTTCATAATTCTGCCTGGATCTGTTTCAATCTGATCTGTATGAAAACATAAACATACACATTCTAATTAAGTACATGAGTAGAAATGAAATTGTACCTTTCTTTTTTTCCTAGTTTCATGCCATGCAAAGACTCAATTGGAAAGCAGTTAATTAAAAAAGTCAAGTGTTACTTTCCATTTAACATAGCTATACTGGTGTATTATTTGTACAAAATATGATAATAGAGGTAGTTAATACGTACCTAAACAATGTTAATGGCTAACTTAGTTTGGAAATACGGTCATTAGCCAAGTTGCTCTTAATAGTCTTGTGACTGTAAAAGCTGTTAAATACCCTGCTGCTTGGATTTTCAGAAAGCACAGCTGGAGAAAGAAATGGATTCACAAACTTTCTGCTTATAACTTCACTTGTGCCTACACTTCCAGGCTTCCAGTGGCTCCACTTTTGCAACTGTGGTGTTGTCGTCAGGCTTGCAGCCCCATCTCGATCTGTTTGATCCCTCAATTTAGGACTCTAATAAGTAAGGGAAAAGGCTGCTGGGGTGTTTTTGTGGGGGCTTTTGTTTATTCTGAAGTGATGCAGGCACTGTCACTCAGTAAGTGTTACATGCACTTGGTTTGGGGTTTTTTTGCCTCTTCTTAAACAGATATGTTGAGCAGCATGGTGACTATTGCCCTTTCTAGAGCTGAGCAAAGTGCATCAGCCCATACCACTATATATGAAGAACTTTGTCTGATATCCACTCGAGAGGTTTTCAGGGACTGATTTAACTGATCCTATTCCCATGTTTGAATTAAATGGGATTTGGATCTTTTCAGAAAACTAGAGTAATGCTGCTGGCCGAGCCCTTGGAATTTAAACCCAAGTTGGATAGCTGAATATATAAAAGCAGTTTTTCCCCTATGTGTGGGTTATGTATTTTTAAATTGAGCCTAGAGATGCAAGAATATTTTATTAGTTTTGCAGATAGCAGCATAGGAATTACTTACATCAGTGAACAAATGATTCCTAATTAAGAATGTAAACTGGGAACTGCAGTAGACTGTGTTCTGCAATTGGTGAAAGGCAAAGTCCAGATCTGGATTCCCGAGAATACTGTCTTGATTAAAACGTTGCGTTTTAGAGAGCATTTTGTGGAAGCAAGTCTTTGACACTGTGCTGACAAGTGTCTTATATAAACTCCCATCTGTCACCAAGCACAGGAGAGCACGTCTCAAATGTGGGACGTGCAGCAGCAGCAAATCAACTGCCTGCTTTTAATAGTGCAGCAAGAGATTTGAAGACATTTGGTATTTTTATTACTAGCTTTTGTCACAAAATGCAGGTTTTTTTAAAAAAATGGCCAGCTGCTGTAATGGTTTAAAAAAAACTAAAGCTGCTGAAACACTCGCTTCCTACACATCCAACCCTCATTTCCTGAATGAACACGCAGGCTGGAACAGGTGAATCAGGTCTGTGGTATGGGTCTGAGGTTCTGGGATCATTTAGAAAAACCCTTTTAAGATGTTTCTGCTTTCTGAAATGGAAACCCATTTAGGCCATGTGTTTATTATACTATAATAGCTTTTCTTACGCTGTTGTCCCAAGGGTAAGTACAAGTGGCTACAGCCGCTGAGGTTACTCGCAGGTTTTAGATCACAGTTAAGTTCTGACAAATGGTCTCTTGTATTGCAAATATGTTGGTTTCCGTAATTTACGATTGAAACAGATGCAAAACCCACTGATGCTGGCTGGGGGCACGTACTGGAGGGGAATGATAATGTTTCATTTAGTCTAGAAGTTTAAACATTATCATTTGTCACAGTGAATTTATTCCTTCCTAAGCAGCACCTGACAGGGGGAGAAGAGTTAAAGAAGCCTTCCTAAGCACTGGCTGCAAGGATAGAGCACTTGCTGTTTCTTTTTCTCCCCAATCCTCCAAAGCTTTCTAACTTCTATAATGATGGAAATTCCTTTCCTTTCTACTGTTCTCCACTAATTGCATGGTGAGCTGCATTTAGGGGTCTGAGCTGGGTGCTGGGGAGGGGAATGAACTATCCCTATGAAGTGCGGGTCTGTGCTGGTATGAGGGAAGCAGCTGGAGCACTTGGCTAGGATGGAGAAGAGTAGGAGCCCAGCTTTGGCAGTAGCATGTGCTTGTATCAGCTCACTTAGATCATAAAACTGCACTGTGAGAGTCTTACCTCTTGGCTGGCTGGTTTTGCTCTTGAAACTCTGCAGTGTAGCCAGCATCACTACACCTGTGCTTTGTCGGGTAGAAACTTCCCCTCTAGCTATGTTCCAGAGAAACTAATTAGATGGTTGCCTTATTTGGAAGCTCTTTCAGCTGCTCAGGATTTGGGTTTTTTTTTTCCCCTTCTTATTTTCTGCTGTTAAGAGAAACAGGTCGTAGTCTTTTAGCTTCATGAAATATTTATGTCAGTCAAAGGCATGAGCCTTTGGGCATAAATGAGCCCAGTAAACTGTATGGTAGGGAACATGGGTAATTGCTGCAAATCTTGTTGAACAGTTGAAGTAAAGGTTAAACAGCTGGAACATGTTAATTTTTTAAAAATTAATGTGTACCTTCCAGTGTAGAAAGGAGGAGCAAATCTGACAGTTGTGAGCTCATTTACTGAAGTAAGCTTTTTGATTACAAAGAGGAAAAGGAGAAAGTATCAGAATGATTTTATATTTTGCAGTTTATCAATAAATGTTAGCAGTTTGCAAGAAAGCAAGTAATTTACAGTTCACAGATACTGTATTTGAAATGATTACTGCAACTGTATGATACAGAAAAGAAGAAACCCTGGATGGCAAAATACACATAAGTGAGCCCTTTATGTTACTCGTTCTTTCCATTTTTCTTTTTTTTTTCTCTTGGAAAAGTGTGATTGCCTGTAAGTGTCAGACTGACTGCTGACCGCAGTGACAGCACCAACACAAGTTTCCATAAAGACATTCTTTCCCAATTGGGTATCCTGTGGTGATACTGCAAGTTATGCCAAAATGTTCCCACATTCTGTAGTGTAGGTGATTTGTGGGTTTTTTTGGTCTTCCTGTAAATTATGTTCTTTATTTTTATAGGGCAATGGTAGTATTTCTTCTTCAATATGAAAGCAAGTGTGTTACTTAAATAGGACAATAAATAACCCATCTGCTTTCTTTCCAAAACCTCTGTGGTGGCTGACTCACATGTGCTCTCTGTAACCAGGTTTGGGAAATGCTTGCACCCTGTTAAATGTGCAAGTTAAGCACTCTTCCAGTGCTTCTGTTTCTTGCACTGAAATGTCAGCAGTTTTGGAACTACTTCCAGGAAAGAAATTTTTTACAAAATACGCTTATTTTTAAGTTTTCTAGGAAGCTCAAAAGCTGAATTGAGACTGGTTGTTCGGTTCCATTAAAAGAAGAGCTTGAGTGCTTAAAAGTGAGAAAAAGATTTTTGATAAAGAAATACATGTCAGACCTCTGACCTGTTGCTTTAGTCTCATAAAATAAACAAGTAGTTAGCAGAGGATTTAACTGTCCATTTTGAATATATTAGTGAGTACTTAGGAAACAGATCAAATGAAACATCGTTAAAGATTTCCTGGAGAACTCTCTGTAAAAGTGGAATGGAGTATTGAGAATTTGTTTGTACTGCTGATTCCAGAACATTTCTATACAGAAGTGAACCAAAAAATAGCATTTTGGGTATGCAGTTGTTGATGTCTATAAGATCATATCTGTAAAGCCGCAGCCTTTTAAATCTTTTGTTTGCATTTGTCTGTGTGTAAGCCTGCCTATTGTTTGGTCTGCTGTAACTTTTAATCATTTTTTCAATTCTTGTTAGTATGAAAGCTTTTTTTTGGCCCCTTTGCAGACAATCTTTTCCATATTTGCATGATCTGGTCTTGTTCATAAATAGCAGTTTTTAACATTGAAAGATCTGTTTCTCTTCCTTACATGATTTTATTACTCAGATTGCAGAATCTATAACCATGTTATACAGACTACTTAATTTCAATATATGCAAGTCTGTCACTATTCAGTTTAAAGGATTTTTCATAGTTTATTTCTCCTCACAACTAACTTTCTGGGAATTTCTCCTTCTACAAAAATGAACTGTCTTGAATTCAACAAGTAACAGTAATTTTGGTATGAATGGGATCCTTACCAAGTTGGTAAAGTTTTCTGTGTTGTAGCTTAACAGACCTGCTAGGTGGTTGGGGTTTTTTCTGTGCATAGCCCAATTTTAGGAATATTAAAATTTCTATGTATAGTTTTTCCTCTGGCATGCTATTATCTGAAGTACTTTCATACTCAAATCTTAAGATTTTTTCCAGCATTTAAGGTCTACTTTTCAATTAAGAGAAATGTATTCAAATAGTATTTCAAGTTACTTTTACAGTATTACTATTCAAGTCATAAAACATTCAGTAGAATACCCAAACAATATAATTCAACAGATGTCAAAAATTAAGCTTCAGTTTTACTTGAGAGTAATGCCACCATTCATTTATTGACTCATTTTCTTTTCATTGGCAGAATCTGAAGAAGATTCAAGAAATGGACAAAGAGGCAAGTGATGAATCCAGCACGGATCTTGATGACTTAAAAAATGCTGACTGGGTAAGACAACAATTGAATAGTGATTCAGCATCATTACTAGTAGGTTATATTTCTTCATAATGCTTACCTAAAGTTGTTTGTTTTATGTTAAACTCAGTGTCTGTTCTTTTAACATATGAATTAATAGTAACTCATGACAAGTTAGGACCAAACGGAGTCTCAGCCTTCCTTTGCAGACAGTTGAAACAATACAAGTATCCAAGCATTACATTTTTGCTTTAGACTGTTTTCATGGAGAAGTTTTTGCAATTTAAAAAGGCTGGACATTTAGTCAGGTGTCATGCTGACTGCCCTTCAAAGGGGCAGCCAGACATTAGGCAGAGCCACCAGCTGAGCTTCTCCAATGATGAAAGAAAAATGTAACAGAGAAGCTCTTAACAGAAGGAAGCTTATTTTATTTGCTAGTTACTATCCTTGCCAGCTTGTAGAGGAATATTGTGAGGTTCTTAAAAGTACTTGATTTCAATCTTCCAATCTTCTATCCACCTCCTGTTCTTCCTCCTCTCCAGCCATTCTCTCTGCCCAGAAAATGAGAGGGAGGTGTTAGTGTGTGGTGCTCTTAGAGGCAGAGCAAAAGGAAGTTGGGTACTGAGAGGATATTGCTAGACCTTAGGATTTGGAGTCCATTCCAAAATTTCTATCTGAAGAACAACTGCTCGGAAATCTTGCAAGAAAGTTCTGGGCCTAAGGGAAACAAAGTTTTGGATTCAGTCACTGTTCTAATTCACATGGTATTAGCTATAAGTCTAGAAATTTTTCTGAAGTGCTTGACGATATACTTGAAATGGAAATATAGATGTATGATATGAGAATTTCAAATCCTTTTTCTGTATTATCTTAGAGATGAACATCACTTGAGGTGAGACTCTGCAGTCCTGCTGAGTTGCAACAAAGTTTTGTTACGTTCATGAGGATTAAAAATAGGCTTATATAAAATAAAATGGGTTTTGATTGATGTGTTAAAATAGTAACAGCTGTACGTATTTGGTGGTGTCCTGAAAGGGGAATGAACAACTTTGGTTTAATCTGAGGTGGCATTCAAGGGTAAGGTATCAAATAAAATTTTTCTCTCTTTTCTCTTCAGGCTCGTTTTTGGGTACAGGTGATGCGAGATTTACGGAATGGTGTTAAACTTAAGAAAGTTCAAGAGCGTCAGTACAACCCACTCCCAATAGAATATCAGCTCACACCCTATGAAATGCTGATGGATGATATTAGATCCAAACGCTATACCTTAAGGAAGGTCATGGTGAGTCAAGAAAATCACTAGAATTTGTCAAATCTGAAATATTATTTTCCTTTTTTATCTTCTTCTCTTTTTTTCTGAGAACCTTGAAATTACGATTTCAAGTAGATAGTAATGTTCATGGGTTTTATATGGCATCTTAAATTTATGTAGTACATTGAGGGGAAAAACATGAAACCAACAAATGTTGTGTATTTTGTATTCCGTATGGCAGGCATTTAAAATTCTGAAAGACATACCTAAATATCATATGCTTGAACAAATGACTTGTGTTGGTTTTACGATAACCTTAAGAGTCATATCAAAAGTCCTGTCATGCTTTCCACTGAGAGATTGTTTTAGGTGTTTCTTATTGGGAAGAACATTTATCTTGACTTACAACATAATTTTTGAAATTCCAGAATGTAAAGTGGTACCATGTTGTTACATGAGTGATACTGTGATGGGAAAGGAAAACCTGCAGTGGTTGAAAACTTATATTACCTACTACCTATATTACAGTGTTTGAAAACTTATGTTACCATGATCCGTTATGAATTTTCAAGGAATACTCTATGGAAAAAATCTTAAATCTTCAATTTGTAGAAGTTGAGCTTAATTATTTTCAGCATATCCTATTGCTGCTTTCAAGTCAAGACAATATGTCAAAGCAAGCTGGAGAGTGTTGATGGGTCTCCTCCTCCTAGATACTCATAAAGGTGCATGTAAGATTGACTTGAGGCACTCTTTTTATTAGGACCCATTTGATATTTACTGGTGTTTCGTTGTTCTTTCTTCCCTTTTGGTTTATATTGTGTTCAATATTAAGATGTTCTTGATAAGCTAGCAACTGATCTAAAGGGCTCCTTATCCCCAGTAGAACATTTTAAATGCCTTTTTCAGAGGCATGTATTTGGTTAATGTCAATATTTATACCTTGCACTTACTTATCTTTGCCTGTTATTAGTTACAGTGGAAGCATTGTCTTAGAATATTCAGTGTTCAAATGTATTTGCTTTCCTGACAAAACCTCACACAACCTTTGTTAGTGAGAAAGCTGTGATTCCACCAGAAGAATTCACAGATGGGGCGGGGGGGGGGGGGCCCGACAAAGGG